GTATTTAGAGTGCTGATAATAGTATTACAACAATTACTGATTAGAATCATTTAGAGGCAATTGTAATTGATTTTGTTTAATAATTATAATCTAGATCGATTGCGAAAGGATTATATTTCGAAGAAAAAGTTTCCTTTGAAATTTGTTGTATTATTGTTTGCGCAGAATTTGGGCTCATCCTAAACAGATGTTTTCAAAACGGTGGGAATGTTAATAGCAGGGCCAACCAGAAGTTATGGAGATTTGATAGTTGAGGAGACAAGTCCGCGCAATGTTCACGAGAACTGGAGAACATTCACGTATGAAAGCTGAATATTAGTAGAAAATGATACTAGAATCGAATTACTCATTCATGTATGTTGGTTTACTTGTAATTATACTAACCCTATTTTAAACCTCAATGACTTTGAAGCATTAACCTCAAAATATTAAATACTTCTCAAGTAGCATCGTGTTTGTTCATGTGCATGTTTAAAAGGGTTCCCAAAAAGTTTCCAGTAGATTCAAGAAATGTAACAGATGATTTTAAATCTATGTGGTGTTACGGCGGCGCAAGGGGAATTTTTGTCCCTATTGAGTAATGCAATTCGATCACAAAAATGTTCCTAATTTTACTCGCGTTTTTGCAATCGCGTTTTAATTTCAGTCTATATCCACGCAATACGAACATGATATTAGTTTCGATATGATCTTTACTATGCAACTAATCTTGAAAATAATTATTGGACAATATCCAGTAAGAAACCCCCTCTACCGCCCATTCCCAAAAGAGTGCTACTTAGGCTTCTTCAAACTTCCATCTACTCATCATCGTTGATGTCGATGACTGTCCTCGACCATTTGCGAGCTTGTACTTTACGCGTGAACAAGATGTCGATCTCACGGTAGGATCTATTCTTCATCTCTGGAACAAAGAGCCAAGACATAATACTGCAGAACAAGGCAGTGCCAGCCCAGATGTAGCCACTTTTGCCGCCCAGGTTCCACTTATCAGTGTTGAGCATGTAACTAGCAAGGAAGATACAAGGAATATTGACCAAGTAATAAGCACCTCGTCCAATACCGGTCGTCAGTGGTCTCAGACGAACGGAAGACGTCTCGCCAATAATGACCCATGAAGCAGGGGCAGGTCCCAAACAGAAAAGGACTGAAACGAGCAAGGCAAGTGATGCTTGTGCATTGCTAGCGGCAGTGCTCTTACCAACTGAAGCCGCAATACCAAGCGCGACTAAAAATCCAGTGGCAATGAATTGACCATAGACATAAATGGTCCGTCGGCCGAGGTATGTAGTGAGGACCCAAGAGATAACGACCATGATCAACTGGAGGGCGGAAGTGATGAGACCAAGAGCGAATGCGGTGTTGTCTGCCATGCCGGCCTCTGAATTGATGTCAGTTTGTTTCGGCATTACAAGGAATAGGTAGACTCACGTTTGAAAAAGTACACCGCCTGGTTAGCGATCAGATTACCCGTCAGATTCTGAGACGCGTATACACCACAAACAATCAAAGTGCGGTAAAGATCGGTACCTCTCCAGAGTTCAGCAAGATTGGGCTGCTTTACGCTCTTCTCGAGCTCGATTGTACGTCGCATCATTGCGACTGCGTCAGCGGGATTATCATTTGCAGAAGCGCGCCCAAGTCGTGCAATGGCCTTCTCTGCCTCGGCGAGACGACCTTTGCGTACAAGCCACCAGGGTGATTCGGGCGCAATAAAGAGTAGAATAGCGAGAGGAGTGGGAAACATCCACTGGAGTGCAATGGGAACCCTGATATGATTGTTAGTACAGACCTCCTCGATAGTATCTATGGGAGCAGACAAACCTGTACGCCGAAGAGTCTAACTTGGATTGGTAGTGGTAAGTGATACCGCCGACGATGAGTGCGCCAATGGCCCAGAACATCTGCAGCATCTGCGTCGCTGGAGCTCTCAATCTCAGTGGCACAATTTCGGAGCAATAAGCGGGTGCATTGGCGATGAAAATACCCCATGGGATGCCTTCTAAGATCTGAGATGCGAAAAACATGCCTTGGCTGTTGCCGAAATAGAAGATGAAAATGAAGGCGTTCAGAGCCATGAGACCGCCAATCGTTGCCCATCGATATCCAATCTTACTAGTAATGGGACCTGCGATGAAGACACCGATGAAGGCACCTAGTGGTCCACTACACTGGTATGCTGATTGCCATGAAGCTTCGATAATTTTCTTTCCCGTCACATCGCTCACCACACCGAAATCTCTAACGAACGCCTCTGTAGCGATGAACTGTCCCATCAGGAAAACACAGTAGGACTCCATAATCTGTCACCAAGTTAGAGAAATGATTTTCCAATCGTGGCAAGAGCCTGTCGTGGGCCAATAGCTTACAATGGTGCATGACATGACGAATGCCCACCAACTGGCGGCGGGGTAGGCTTTCACAGCCTGGAGCACCGTCATGTCATGTTCAATTTGCTCGGCATTGATGGCGCGCGCTCTGTCATCGATCTTCTCATCATGGTAAACAGGTATGTCGGCGGAGGTGGGATGTGCTTCGACTTCCGATATGGTCGGCTTTTCTTCCGTGATAGCGTTACTCATATTGTCGGTTTGTGGAAGAAACGTGAAGAAGAAAGAAAGGCAGGCGCAAGTGGGTGTCTTATGGGTTTTTAAATATTTATCCCTGCGACAACGCGCATAAAGCAGACGGAATATTGGGTCGCTCTATTATTCACCCGAAGGTGGAGAACTTGGGGAGTTTGGGGAGTTTGGGGAGTTTGGGGTGTTGGGGTGTTGGGGTGTTGGGGAAAATTCAGTGCGGGGTTGTTAGCGCCGTCCAGTGGCTTCCACTTTTCTAAGCGGAGGAATTGAATCCTTGCGGTTATGTTTGTATGGCTCGGATGGTTGGAATTATTTCTGATTGGATCCTCATTTATCATGGAACCCATCGAAACAAGCTTCCGAAAGTCGGTGGAACGGGAATTCACTGACATGTTCGAATTCGCAAAAGTCGATGGAAGGATCCCAGCGAATCAGAGAGTGAGTTCGGGCAGAGCGGATTGTATCATTGGTAAGATTACAGACACAACAGGTGTACTCTGTAGCTAATGCAGCAGGGGGGCATGGAGGCCGGTGCAGCAAATGCTGTTGGTACCCGAAATACTGAATCTCAAGTTCAAACTGCATGGTGATTGTTGTCATAATGATTGCTGTCCTGTCAGCCTGTATAATAAAGCACCAGTGGAGCAGGTTCTTGAGATGATGCCCAGGAAGTCGTTCCTGTCAACAACAAATCCTAAAAGACAAACATCTTGATCTTGTTAGATTGATTGTACGAAATCCTTCCAGATTCAAAGCGTTGGTGGCCCGAGCCATAGCGAAATTGGCACATGGAAAGGTGCTCTTGCTAAGACCTGTTGTATGCAGGGTCATTATAATCAACTTGGCCGAAACCAATTCCCTGGTTCACAGCTGCATGTATTTGCTGAGCTTTGGGGGATGCTAATTGGAAGGGCTAAAAGATTCTTCGGGGGAACTGAGATGACAGTTCAGGGATACCAGATTGACACGGCGATTTGATCACATGCTTGCTATTAAGTACCTAGGTACTCGAGGGTGATTACCATCCAATGACAATGAAGGAATCAGATGGTGGCGCACGACCCTAGTATTCCCAATATTAGGACAGTGATCTGGGATGATGGCTACGAGATCATCTGATTATGAAAGAGGTGAATTCTTTGCTCCGTACAAAAGCTAAATTGCGCTTTTACAAAGATACCGGTACCCGACCTTGCCGACATGTAATGGTAGCCTCTAGTTCCATTCTGAGGTCTGGACCAGCTCGTGTTGAAAAAGTTAAAAAAAAATCAAATCGGTGATTTTACCGCATCAGAATCATTAAGCTCATTCCAAGGCGTCTTGTCGAGGTGATTGCCATCGCTTCATACTCCGAGATTGATGACAAGCGATGATAATTTCGGACAATGTTATGAATGAGATGCACAATGTCCGCTTCATCTTAGGTGTATTGAGTTCGTAAATGGGGAGCCAATCGGTGGACGGGGAATCGTTGCCTGATATGCGCGAAGGATATTCTCATTGGTTGGATTGGAGTTCTTTTTGGCGGCGGCGGCTCGTAGTGCTGAAGTTGTGAAACCGGGGTAGATAACGACAACGGAGATCTAGGGTACGTTGACTGACACCTTGGTGCAAAGGCGTAGAATGCTTTCGCATAATGGACTCCTTTCAAAGATGGAGGATGGGATGGCTGGGGAGTCCCAATTCGGTCGAGACATCCCTGCGCTGTCACATGAACGAGTCACCTGACGCTCAAAAGTAAATGGAATTGGTATTGATACCTACCTAGTATTAACCCTGAAATTTGAACAGCTCATCACTGCGACCCATGGCACCCTCCGTACATTGTGGTATATATACCTAGTAGGAGCAATGGTATCGATGTGAAAGGTAGCTGGCCGATAACTTAATTGTAAAGCATTTGAACCCGAATCTTTCGCGATGGAATACTAGGTAGCATTTGAGGTACTGTGGTGCTGGCCACGAATCTCAAAGGCAATAATTCGGGAGGTTATATTGATATGGACGACTCGGGGCAGGAGACAAAGTCAAGCACAAGGTCGAACATTGAATTTTATTTTCCATCATCAAAGGCACAAAATGCTCTGATAACCAAGCAATCAATTTTCATCATTGCGGTCTACCGGTCTTACCTGGGCTTGATGCTGAGCTTGTCATCCAGTTCCTGAGAATGGTTCAGAGCCAGGCGGTGAAAATCCATTCATTTAGTGGGCTTGACGCGACACCCAAGCACTACTATAATACCTTTTATGGGGCATCGACGTGGGCGAGGCCAGGCCAGCTACCTAATTAGTTCGTATAGTAGTATAGTAAATTAGCAGACATTATATAGGAGAAGCAGAAACGGAAGAAAATTTCAGCCTCATGTGTCAAAGTCTGGCATCTCCATTCTTCACCAAGACTTCTTAAGCTTTGAAGATGATCGAATTAAGTCGGCGCAAAGCAGTCGATGATGAGTCAATTGACTACCAAGCACTCGATGATGTTACTTTCCACCGGGAATCGCTCTCGACACCTGTGCACAGTGATAAAAATACCTTTGTACCATCATCATCATCATTATCCGATAAATCTTTGACGGATGGTGATGATATCTCCTACGCTCAAAGGAAGTCTACACAAATTTCAAGGCCTCGATTCGCTCCCTGGGGAATTCATTGGAAGAAACCCTCGTTCATTGGCTTAATGTTTTTGGTTGGCTTCATTCTTTCATTGGTCCATCACCTTTACTACATGTCGCTCAGCGGCGTAAGAACTGGCGACGAGAAAAAACAAGCTTGGCCCACCCGTATTGGCACCGGCTTTGCCTTTTTAATTACATCTTGTTTAAGGCAACAACGACGGCCGCTTTAGGTCAATATATTTGGACAGTTGTCAAACGCCAACCATTGAGCATAAGTACTGTTTGTAGTAAGGCTTCAAGATCCTTAGACTAATCTCCAGAATAGGAAACTTGGATCGTCTTTTTGCTTTGTCAACGGATCCCATAGCCCTATTCAGTATCGAGCTATTAAAAGGAGCAAAACTTGCCATCTTGTTAGGTGCCATTACATGGTATGTTTTAAAATATCAGAGGTCTAATAGTCTGAATTTTATCACAATAATAGAGGAAATCGAAATGACTCCGATTGTTCAGTTGGTATCAGATGTCAAAATTTCACATCTAGTTTGCCAGTTCAGACTCTTGGAAACCCTACATGTGAAGTGTAATAAGAGCCGTCACTGATTCTTTACAGGCTTCTGGGACTCGCAAGTATTGCACCAGCAGCAACCTTGACAATTGTTGCAAAGAACATTTCCGAGGAAGTGCGTTTGCCAGTTCTTGATTTTTCTAAAGCCATTTGGAACAATTCTGTGGATGGCCAGTATAATGCAGTCTCGATCACCAATACCATTGCGATAAAATACAGCCTCAAATATCAATGTGTTAGGATTATCTAGACAAGTGTCCGGATCTGAATGGTCATATACTTTGCAGTTTTATGGCCCGTCGATAAAATGCAACGAACCGAACAACACCCAGCAGGCCATATTCAACAACATTACCAAGTATTATGAGCAAAACAATGTCTTCACATACGACGATCAAAATGATAATCGTACAAATACAACGTTCGGTGTGGGCTCTGGCAAAATTGTTTACAGTTCGTGGAGCACTTGGTATGCAGGAGGCACACCAAATGCCGGGTTTCTTCCACCACCACTAGCATTACATGGGTCCTATTATCCTCAACTATGGATCCAGACTTCAACCTCGGAATTGATTTGTACTGCGGTGAACGCGACATTCAATATCGCAGTATCGTACATTGATGGAGTCCAGTATGTCACTCAGCAAAACATCGAAGTTATTGGACGTTATGATCTTTCTTATATGGACGTCGGTGATATAGAAAGCGGACCTACAGTTACTGATTCGAAAGGTGTTACAACCGCAACAGCAACTGGTGGATCGGCAAAGGTATTGTGGAATCAATATATTCCGCATGTGTATGCTCTTGGAGCTATACTTGGCGGGAACATAACTTTACGAGATGTCACTCTTGGCAGTAGTCAGAATGAACAATACAGCGGTTATGGAACAACTAATATTCTTGGGACAGGTTTGATGGCCTGTGAGGAAATCGCCAGTACCCCATTCAAGAACGAAAGCTCATATCTTATCGGCAATCCCTCTTCTACGTTTACCAATACCTTCACTTCAACAACACGACCTTGGCTATGTCGAAATCAAACTTTGGCGCGTGGTATTGAAGATTTAGCAAACAATATCACCATCAGTTATCTTAGCTCGCCGGATTTGACGAGTGATGGCGATCTACAAAAAATTCTCACCTCCAACACAAACAATTATTATATATACCATCCTTTTTGGCTTCTCATATCGTATGGCTTGGCCTTCTTATTTTCCATCATGGCTGTAGCAGTCGGTATTCACGCTATAAATTCCAACGGGGTAGTACATTCGAATTCCTTTTCAGCTATTGTTGCAACTACTCGTAACCCGGAACTGGACGAAATCTTGGGGAGGTCTTGTTTAGGTGCCGAACCATTGAAAAAGGATCCCGGACAGTGTAGGCTCAAATTTGGACCGCTATTAGATCAGGTCATAACAGGCAATCCTAAGTCTGCTGAAGAAGAATCTGAAAGTCAATGGCAGATGGAAAGACATTCTCATGTTGCATTTGGGATTGAACACAATGTTGGACAACTAAGGAAAGGAGATCTGTGTACTTGAAATCGAGACTTGTTATTTTGTCCAGTACTCGATTATATCAGTAAATAAATGCATGTGCAGGCCACTTATATTTGTTTGCATTCAGTGGATATCATTGGGAAGCCCTGCTATGCAATTCGAGTTATCGACACAGCAAGCCCTTGATTTCATATCAACTGGTCAAATCCCAAATCATTGTTTGGTCGAATCCATCAATCAAAATTGGTACAGATAGCGATAGATCTGGTCGCATCTGAATCCTCTTGCAATTGTCCAATCTTGTCTTCTAATGCAGTCATACAGTCAGGTCCTAGCGGCATACGCAGATAATCATGTCCTCCTATGACAGCATTGGCAACTGCTCGCGCAGCTTTGTCAGGATCTCCTTTCACAAAGTCCGGAATAGACATAATGTTTACAGTTCCGTTCACCATCTGCTCAACCGCAGTACCTTTGTATGCTTCACTGAAATCATTGCTGACTTGATACTGAGCTGGTGTCCTGATCCTGCTTGCGAACGGTGTTCGGAATGCCCCTGGCTCTACGATGAGAACTTTGATGCCGAAAGTGTTGAGTTCATGAGAGAGGGATTCGTAAACTGCCTCAATTGCGAATTTACTGGCGGAATATGATGATCGTGCCGAACGCGCTATAAACCTTCACATGCGCAATATTTCATCAGTGGAATTCCGAAAGCAGTATAATGGACAGTGGAGAAGGGCCCAACGAGCTGGTTTTGACATACCCGGCACCACTACTTATAAGGACAAGGTTTCCTGATCCTTTTGACCGCATTGCTGGAAGACAGGCCCGTACAGCTCGGAGAGGCCCATAAAAGTTGACCTCCATCTGCTCTCGTACTTCATCTTCGCTATTTGTACACGTCAGTGAAAATACTTATTGCGCATGATTCAAAACCCGACCTTGTATCCTCCACTCCACCAATAAATGCATAACCTGCGTTATTAATTAAAACGTCGATGTCATACTCTGCTGCGCACTTCGAAAATCTCTCAAAAGCATCTTTTTGGGCGGGATCCAAAGTTATCCAAATTCCTCCCATTTCCACGAATTCAGGAAAAGACATTTCGGCTTTGCCTATGTCGCGAGTGGTCCCAACTACTCTGGTGCCAGACTTGAGAGCTTCAAGAGCAAGAGATTTACCGATGCCGGAGGAGGCGCCTGTTATTAGCCAGGTGGATGACATTGTTGCTGTCATAGTTTGTATTGGTATTTGATCGGGGACTATTTCTGGTAATAATGAGCAGATTGAAATACGATATCAAACTCGGGGCTTTTATCAAGCAAAACGGTTGTCGGGGTTAGCATGCTTCCAATGGAGTTACTATTAACTCCACCATTACGGTAAGCCCTTGAGTACCTACCTAGATAGCTGAATGTTTACAATATTACAAGCTATAATATCGTGTCGCTACTTTTACTTTATATCAAGTTGAAAAAATTTGGTGCCAAGGGATGCTTAGCTGACAGGATGAAGCTATCGAAGTTCCGCGAATGCTCACAAACGTGTTGAAAGTAAGAATGAAGAGGTTGAGTTGAATCAATGGGGTGGTATGCGCACAGCCAGAAAGTATATGGAGGGCTCTATCAAAACGAGGAGGTCCCGAACTTATTGTGGAGGGATATCAACAGGATCGCAGTCGAGTAAGTGAGTGGTGCACACTAATTGCAGCCAATGATTCTGGATTCATGCTAGAAATTGATTCCAGATAAGCTTCTAGAATGATGAAGGAGCCATTGCAGTTGTAGAGTTGAATTTTCTTTGAAACTCATTGTGGTCACTAGACCGAACTCTACTTCGAACAACACACTTGACTTGTGCTTTCGTTCTAACAAAGGGGTTCGTTTCAAGATTTAAGAAACGGCAAATATTAATAATCATTGTAGTTTTGCTCAAATCAAAAGTCTGCATGTGAGGAATTGTCCTCATGGAAGAGGTAAAACGCAAAGTAGAGAAAGATTTGATTTAAATCCTCATTGGCCCTTTTTAACCAAATGAATACATGCACAATTAGAAGCCTTCTCGGTTAAACTATTCAATTGTGGGCGAGAAGAAATATATCTTAAGAGTATCTAGTATGTTCTTGAAACGCCTATTATGTGCTACCTGGCCTATGCCTCCGGCTTTTCTCCCGTCTTCTCTTTGACTGGCCCAGTCGCCCCATTTGCAGATCCTACACCATCGCCAGCCTGCGGAGCAGCAGCGGCCTCGGGTTTGATATGGCTGGCTCTCGCGGCCTTTTTCATTTGTCTCTTGCTCATAGGCAGCTCAACTTGTTTTGTGGTATTAGTTTCCGTCTCACCATTAAAGTTCACTTGCCACTTCTCTCTTGCCTTTCTTTCATCCTCTTCACTCCACTTTCTCGGCAACACTGCAAACACCAGATACGAAGTGTGAGTCCTGACTTCTGGTTCTGTCTTGTGTATCAATTTTCCTTCCTTATAAATCTTGCCGTCGACCAAACTCTTTATCAGTGTTTCCCTAGTATTTGGATTTTGTCTTGGCATTTTGTCTGGAGCATCGCCTTTCTTGTAAAATGTTTGATGTCCGATTTCGACTTCTAATAACCGACTCACGGCTTCCTCGACATTTGCTGGTGTAGTTTGCAGACCCCTCTGTACTCCGTTATCGATACCTATTCGTTCTCGCCGGATTTCAAATCGCTTTGCTGATAATTCTACCATCTCAATGTCGACCCAGCCAAGTTGTCGCATAACAGATATAGTCCGTTGAACTTGTTCGATACATGGGGAGAAAGTGCATAGATGAACTGGTGCTTCTGGATTGAGAGCAGAAACGAATGGTTCGGCGATGGGCTTCGTTGGAGATAGCTCGCCGTTAGGGTTCTTGATAGGAGGCGGAGGAGATCTAGTAAGATGCGGGAGTGCTAACCATGGAGCAGGTAAGTCTAAAAATATAGATTCGGCCTTTGGATTTTTTCCATCAACTAAGAATCCCCCTTCACAAACATCTCGATGCGTGATCTCCACAAGTTCATTCAATCCATGCTCTTGCAATTCCTCAACTAATTTCGCATGTCTCGGTTCATGAAATTCGAAACTCCAGACTTTGCCCAACTTGCGCTTCTTTAATGTATGTTCATCAGGATATCCATTAAACACAGCTCTTGTAGATGCGTGTGTGAAGGATCCACTACCAGCTCCGGCTTCAATGATACTCGTTCCAGGTCTTGCGCGTATACGATGTAGAATATAACTGTAATCAGGCGTGTAAACAACTTGCGTTCGATGTGGTAAGGAATTGGTCCAATTTTCAGGTGTAGGGGGTAGGAAATGTATGAATCCGCTTCCAGCAGCTACAGCCTCCGTCATCTCTTTGGTGCTCGTAGTTGTTGGCGATCCATCTTCTGCATTTTCTGTGTTAATTTCTTCGGCTTTCAGGGTCTCGACAGCTTCCACATCGTCTCGCTTTCGTTTTTTGTCACCTCTTCGCCCTCTAGATCCAGTATCAACTTTGGATGCAAGTACTTGAGTTCCCCATGGTATTCCAATCAACGTCGTGTGCGGAAAAGATCCGAATCGAGTGTTCGTCACCTTTCCCTCTGCGTATCCTTCATCCTTTTCGTCGGTGCTCTTGAGAATTGTTGGAGTTTGGAGATCTCTTTTTAAGTGTAAGATTGCCAATTGATCTGAAGACGAAACTGCTCCAGGATAAAGAAATGGTGATCTTTTATTACTCATCGTGAGTACCTGATAGGTTGTTGTTGCTTGTGATAAGGACTTCAAGAAGTTCTGGACTTTTGTATCTTGTTCTATTTGCATCGTTCCCTCTGTGCGAAAGAAATAATTTTATAACCGCAAGGCTAGATTTGAACCTTACAACGAGGCTGAAAAAGATGGCCCCACGATAAATTTATTTTCAGCCCACCGAGTCATACCGGTACTTGAGCAACATTGGATTAAATAAATAAACGAATCAGCCCGCCCTTTACTTACATTATCAAACAAAGAAGTGACTCAATTTCTTCATGACATTTCTACCAACTGAATGTTTCTTCCCTTACGCTCTCTAAGATTTTCTACGTTCTCTAATTCTTATATTCATTTGCTCACAGTTCGAAAGTTTACTACGAATAATTTCACAAAAATGGATCAATTGAAAGTTCACAACTCTTTAAAGCCTGGTGGTCCAGTCCCATTTGTACCTATTGAGAAAGGAAAGGTTTCTTGGTATGTCTGCGGACCAACAGTATATGATCACTCGCACTTGGGACATGCTAGGAACTATGTTTCTACTGATATTATACGAAGAATCATGAAAGATTATTTTGGTTTTGATCTGAATTTTGTTATGAACATTACAGATGTCGATGACAAGGTGGGGGGTATAGAATCTAGAATGGCGGGTAATTGACTGATGATCATTTGACAGATTATCTTGAAAGCCCGAAGACAAAAGCTACTGGAGCTTGAAAAGTCGAAAACATATACCGAACCGGAGCTCGCAAAATTAGCCGCAGAAGCCTTCCAATCCTACGCAACAGCAAACCTCCCCGAACTGCTGAAAGATGGCACTCAACTTACACCTAACAATTATGCAGAAAGAAGAGATATTGCATATGGAAAAGTATTGGCGGGCGGAACATTGACAGGCGAAGGAAAACCAGGAGATGCGGAAGCGAAGATGAAGATGCATATAAGCAATCTTTCTTCTGCGGCGCAAGCCATCCAACAAGAGAAGATTTTCGGTGGAGCAGATGAGATTCTTCTTCCGTATCTTGATTCTTTGTATAAGGATTCGATCGACGCGAAAGACCATACCATTTTCACCAATGTCACTCAATACTGGGAGGATCAATTTATGGAAGACATGGACGCACTAAATGTCATGCGACCAGATGTTATCACACGAGTTACCACCTATGTACCAAAGATCGCAACCTTCGTAAAGAAAATTATCGACAAGGGCTTTGCTTATGAATCAGACGGATCGGTTTACTTCGATATTGCAGCATTCGAGAAAGCTGGTAATCCTTATG